TACTATTTGCTAGCCATATTTATTTTACTTACTACCATACAACTATAAACTTATGGTGGATCATTCTACATTTAGGCCTTCATGCTAGAAGATTTTGCATGTGGTGTTGGTAGGGGGAATCGTTAGTCTTGAAAGCTTACTAGGAGATGATTGAGAAAGAGCTCAAGAGGCAGGTGGTTGATGGAAAGTGCAGCAATATCACATTCAATGATTTTCCTTATTACTTGAGGTAATGTTAAGATTCCTTTTATTCTTACATGTCATTTTGCATGCAAAAAATGTCTAGAAACTGCTTTCATTTTTCATTTTTTTTATTTGTCTGAGTTATGAGATTTAGATAGCTTCTCAAGAAATGTTTACCATCTTTTAGCCATTTTTGATTTGAAACAAATGTTTTCTAAAGGATAGCTTTTAATATTGTGTGTAAGAGTAGTAATAGTATCATCATGATATTCTTTAGGTATTGAAGGTAAGGTGATTTCTAATGAAGTGATCTAGCTTTGTATTTCTTAATTTGCTTCTCAAGAAATATATCATGCCATCATTGCTTGAAGGTTTTGTAGCATGATTTTGATATTGTAGCTGAATCTAGTCTGTTCTCTTGACTTTTGGGATTAGTGGAACTCATGCTTACAATATCATACCAATAAGTTAAACTATTAGAGGTTGATTTTCTTCCTACTTTATTGTATTGGCAGTTATATATTTGTGTCCTTTAGTAGTTTGACAGTAGTATTATCTAGGTTATTCATCATGATTCTATTCATCTAGCATACTCTATGATTTATAATACTTGTCAAAAATTTTGACTGGCCTAATTTGTAGGACTTCGTTCGCATGAGACATAGTATCCTTTTCACAATCTTGAGTTATTTCTCTTTACCTGTAGCCACTTATAAATAGAGCGACCTCTGTTCGAAAGCCTTTTACATTGCACTATATCCTTCTCCTTTTGATTCTTAAATAGTTCCTTCATATTCTTCTTTGTCATGGAAAAAGTAAAGACTCATGATTAAGCCATTTTGTTTTGTATGGGATTTTGATCGAACTCATTTTTTTAATATATGTACTTATTTGAGTGTTGTCCTTTCTTTTTGTTTACGGTAACCACTTTTAAATCATTTGATGGTAACCTGCACTTTTCTTACTCTATATAATTCCTATGGTCATTCACATTTATCACTTAAGTATTATGGCAGAATTCTAAATTTTTCTTAACTAGCAAGTCTAAGGTTTGATTCAGTTTAAGTAATCATGCCATCTACATATTTCTAAATCATGTTTTTTAGGTTAACAGCTCAAATATGTATTAATTGATATTTTCAAGGTCAAGTTTAGTGTTAACAAGTTCTAAAATTACTTACCAAGTCACAACCATTTGATTGGTTTGTTTTGGTTTCCTAGTGTTGCCACTTTAAGTTAGTGTGATGATAGTCTACCTTCTCATATTTTTTTCATCATTATTAGTAAGGGGATGAGTCCTTTTTGATGGATAAGCAACATTCCATTTGTTGTTTCATCTGTTACTGTTAATATAATTATTTCATCATTGTGAGGAAAAAAATACTAGGCTCTTATAAGGATTGCTCTGTTTTGACAATGAAAGTTGCAAGTAAGTAACTCCTTTGATTGTTTTATGTAGGTTCCATTATATATATCCCTTCATAGAGAAAAATCAGACTTGACTTCCAATCTTTTTTCCCTTGTATTTACAATATATGTTTAGTATTATCTAAATAGTGTTTGCATAATGTTGAATTTGTGTGCCACTATTCAAGTTTATACTGAACCATTGGTTTTTGTATTAGAAATGATATGGTATTAAATGAGTTAATCATAATATTATTCACTCCAAGATTTAGTTTGACAATGCTAGAAAGTTTCTCAATAGGAACCTGCTACTTTGTCAAATCAAGATGCCCTCTATTCTATATGGGCTATAATATTTTTTGCTACTAGCCTACATCAATTATGTCTTATGAAGTCATAGTATTAGTAATATCCCTTATTTTTAGATATCAATACAAGACATGTTGGTTCATTTGACTTGATTTTTGTTTCATAATAGAGTAATATGTCTTTTGAACTTTTTAGTCTCCTACAATTCCAATTTTCACTATTGAAATCCTAATTCTTTGCAATTTTTGTAAGCTTTCAGTACTCTCACTCATTATTTCCTCTTAAATCTACATTCATTGTTTCTAGTTAAACAAAAGTCATATGAATAACTAACACTTAGCAAGGGAAATGATGATCCTAGGGGTTTTAGTATAGATGGTTCATGTTCTAAACCTTCAAATGAACCATTACAAGCATTTCCTCTTGGAGATATTAGCTCTGAAAATCAAAATGTTACTACAGGTGCGTGTATTGTTTTTTTTATTTTGATTTGTATGCTTTTACTAAAAAATTTATTTTCATTATTAAAGGAGTTCACATGTGTTTTGTAGGAGATGATAAATTGCAAACAAAAGTTGTCAAGTGTAGGAGTTCAAAATTTTGCTCTTTTGATAACTTCAACAAGCACTTAACATTATTAAACCAGTCCCAATCTAATGAGCCCACTATGAAAATTAGGAAACAAAGTAATAGTTATATGCATCAATTTTGTTTCAACAACCTAGTCTTACAATTTTTTTAATCAATCGTGTCTTATAATTTTTATTCTTATTTCAATTTACAAAAAAAAGTTATGCATTAGCTTTTTTTCTCTCAAGGAGATAAAAAAAATATGGTATGACATATGCATAAGTAATTAATCTCTAGATTCCTTATTTACTTTCTTCAGAACTCCAAATTCAAGATTTGGTCCTCAGAAGTTGTCATTGATTTGTGTTTGTGTTATTTTCTTTGTTTCCTTGCTAAAATGCTATACAGACTTGAAATTATGAAAATTAAAGTTTCAATTATACAATGTTGCTTTTATATGGAGATCATTGGTAACTTATGATTAAGTGTATTTTACAGAATGCACAAGTTGGAGCATGTAAACTTTTACTCATTCTAATTCTGTGTTACAGTTTCAAGTTCTTTTGCTTATCCTTGTAGTTACTTGCTATTCATTTAACATCCTTATATGCTTATCTATTTATCTCATAAAATTTCCTCTTTCCATAGTAGTACTTTACCATAGTTTACCCCCTTGAACAAGTAAATTTAGATAAAATATTGAAAACTCAATGTAACCATTTTACTGTAGTCAAAATTATTCTGTTATCGGTATTTTAAATGTGTACTAATATTTTAGTGATAATGAATAAAATTTTCTTTTTATTAAAAAAATAGTTTCATATATGACTACTGTTAAATGAAATCATGTTTTATGCACACATTAATATATAAATAAAATTGTCTTTTTATCCTGAAAAAACATAATTTCCTATATGACTACTGTTAAATGAAATTATGTTTCATACACACACAGTATTTTATATAATTTTATAATTTTTTTCTAGGTACTTAATTGTTATTATTTTCCTTTAATTAGCAAGGTTACCACCTATGGTCTCATTTAATTATATCAAATTCTTGCCATTCAATATACCAATATTATTCTATCTTTTTGACATTAGAACATCTAATGTATGTTTTAACCAAACTCTTCATTGTTATATACTTGTCATTTCTTGGACATATTAATATTCAATTTTGAAGGCTTATTATTCATACAAGGTAATTACATGCAAAATTAGTAATGGGAGATAATCAATTAGTTTATAAGAAATATGTCATCATTTGAGTTAAAAATAGAGTTTAATTGTGTCAAAACATTTTTCATAACATACAATCTTAATATTACTTCATAATAAAAGCAATAATTAATAATGTCTTGATGTGTGTATATTTATATATACTATTTTATATAATTTTTTTGCCTATTACTCCACTCTTGCAAACAATCATTTATTTGAACAAAGTGATTCCAAAGGTAAAAGTGTTGGGCTATGTAAATCTAAGCATTTTTTGGGCTGCACTTAATCATCTTATGATAAAGTAACAACTAGATATCCCATTGCAGCTGAGTCATGTTTTTCTCAATATTATGTTTTATATCATGTTATGTTTCTTATTGGATGTTTTTTAACTTCATGTCATAAATTTTTTAACTTCATGATGAATTTGAACTACTTGATTTAATGTATTTAGTTTTGAGGTCTAGATTTTTCCCTAATTTTATGCCCCAATCAACTGCTTCTCATGCAACGCACGGGTAGTTGGTGCTAGTTCTATATAAGTATTAGTTTCATTATTTTTTAAACCAATTTTATATCCCTTAACTGATCAATATTTTAAGGCACTTTCAAAATATTTTACTGAAATCAATAAAAGAAAGTTAACTCATTAAATATGACTTAAAATGAAAAAAAAAATTCTAATTTTACTTCTATTAAAAATAGAAAGAAAGAGATACACAATATACATTAAGTTATAAAATTAAATTTACCATGGGAGTAAAATTGAAAAGTAGTAATAAATAAATCTCCATGCACCTTATAGTAAGAATCAAAAATATCTTTCTAGATGGTGCCTTGTATTTAGAGCAAGTTATTTAGGTAGGCCATGCTTATTTGAATTAGATTGAATTAGATTTAAAATACCTAAACATATAAAACAACCATATAACCAAGCTTAGCTCTGACAACTTAAGCTTTTAAGCTTGTTCAGGTTGGCTTATTAGATTTGATTTAAATTATTAACTCTACCTATAATGGGGATTGAAGGGAGTACATTGTAATTGCATTGTAATTACTAACTCTACCTATAATAGGGGTCAAAGGGAGCATACTGTAACCATATAACCTTATCTCGACTTCGTATTCAAAAAAAAAAAGAAGAAAAGAATCACTCAAATTGAAAGCATATGCATATGTTAAGAAATTATCAATCTATATATATAAATATATATTCTCCATCAAAAGCATATTAACTATTTTAACAAACTAGTATACAAAAACAAAATTACATTTTCATAATTTTTACTTATTAGTAGCTATTAAATGCCCAAAATAAACAATTACTATAAAAATGCACTAGAATCTCCTTAATCTCTTAGATATCATCGCAGCAATGTTGACAGATTCTTCTACCTGAAAAACAATGCAGAAATCATAAGCAAAAGACAAGACTAATTAAATGTTTATTCTCATTATTTGTAGAATATAATTTTTGTATCTTGTGGGATTTTTTAGTTATTGTAAACCGTATGGTTTACAAATATAGGAGCATGTTGTCACATGGCTAGTCTTTCAACCCGCACGGCACTTAGACACTCTTTACTAGAAGATGCTAAATAAGCCTAATTTGTAGAAAAGGAGGATGCTTGGCTAAGTTAGAGAAAGGAGAAGCTTGAGAGCAAAGGATAGTTAAGAGAGCTAGGGGAATGTGAGAGTTGTATTGCTTGAAAACTCAAGGATGAGAGGAACTCAAAGATGCTTTATAAATAAGGACGGAGGTGGTATTTATAGACCTCCCATTGAATTTAAAAAGTTTCCACCTCTTTAATGGACAGTGGAGATTAAATTGATCCTATAGCTATCGTTGATTCTTTATAATTCTCTCTTAGATATTTACAATAAATATCTAAATATTTACAATGAATATCTAAATATTTACATGGAAATATCTAGAGACTATCTCAAGACATGTTTAGAACATTATAGAATATCTTAGAGTATCCTAAAATATTCTAGATATCTCCATCCTTCTATAAGCTTCTAGACCCTCCTAGATTGTTCTAGATGCTTCTAAAACATTCTGAAACATTCTAGATTCCTCTTGAATGCCTTGAAATACTCTCATAATGTTAACTAGGAGACTTCTGGAGCATTCCACACCACTTTAACCTCATAAAAATCACGAATTGTGACATTCTCCCCACTTAGTTTCGTGACACCCTTGTCGCACCTTTCTCCTTATAATGTTTGATTCAATTAGTAAACTACCACATGGAGTCTTCATGTACCCAACTAGCTTTAGAGTTTGGTTGGCCCTTCTACTTGATTAAGTACTCAGTATAGTTAGGAACTCCTCTCTCCTTGATCACCCTATCAGCGAGGATCTCTTCTATCTCCTTATTGTACTATGTGATGACTATTGTTGGTGCTCTCTTAGAGATACCTTAAGATAGATCTTCTTCATCTTTGCTGTATTTCTTGAAGAGACTAACATAAATAACGAGATGAATCTTAAGCTTAGGAGGGAGTTATATCAAATATACAACCTTTCCCACACATTTGATTATGGAAAAAGGGCCTTCATATCTCTTGACCAAGCCTTTGTGGACCTTATATAGTGATTTAAATTGATATGGAAATAACTTCACGATGACCAAGTCACCAACTTAAAACTTAATAAGACATCGCTTTTTATCTGCCCACTTCTTCATTTTACAGGAGGCTTTATCCAAGATCGTTCTAGTGACATCTGCTTCTTCTTACCATTCTTTAGCAAATTTATAGGTGGCTAGATTGTCTCCCTTATATGGAGCAGCAAGTGTGCTAGAGGTTAGATGTTATTGCTCGATAATTATCTTAAAGGGGCTCTTACCTATTAACTCGCTTTGCTACAAGTTATAAGAGACTTGAGCCACATCAAGCAACTTAGCCCAGTCTTATTGATGAGCACTTACATATTATTGAAGTTAGAGCTTTAATAAAGCATTGATCCACTCTATCTATCCATCGCTCTAAGGATAAAAGCTTGTTGAGAAGTTTAAGTCTGTCCCCAAGATCTTGAACAATTCTTTCTAGAATTTTCCAATGAGTTAAGGATCTCAATAACTGACAATGCTTCGAGGAATCCTTCATAACTTTATGACATGCTTAAAAAACAAGCATGTTACTTCATCAACTTTGCAATCTATAGGAGTTGGTATAAAGTTGGCATACTTGCTAAATCTATCAACCACCACCATAATACTCCCACATCATTTAGACTTAGGGAGAGCAACTATGAAGTTCATTGAGACACTCCCATAGTCTTTTAACCATCGGTAAAGGTTTAAGTAAGCCAGATGTTGTTCTTCAACTTTATCTTATTAGCATACTAAGCAGGTACTCACATATGCTTCAATATCATCTTGTATATATGGCTAATAAAAATGATTTCGTATGAGAGCAAATGTTCGTGTCATACCTAGATATCCAACCTACATTGAATCATGACACTCTTTGAGGACATCCTTTCAAAAGTTGCCCCATTTTGGCACATAAAATCAATTTCCAATGGTGTAAAGTAATTCATCATTCACTTAGAATCTACGAGTCTTGCCTTCTATAGCAAGATTTACTAGGTCACTTGTAGCAAAGTCTTAAGACATACCTTCTTTGATTTTATCAAAGAAGTCATTTTAAGGCATGCTCACTATAAGAGTAACTAGCTTGCTTTTCTACTTAATGTATTTGCCACCATATTTTCTTTACTTGGCTTGTACTTTAACTGATAATAAACTCAGCAAGAAAATCTTGCCAACGAGCTTGCTTTAGGCTAAGCTTTTTTTATGTTTGGAAGTAGCTTGTAACAACATTGTCTGTTATTATAGTGAACTTAGTTCCAAGTAAGTAGTGATGCTAGGTTTGCAAATAATGGATGATGGAAAATATTTCTTTTTCTTGCACCATGTAGCTCCTCTCTGTGTCATTCAGCTTGTGGCTCTTGTATGCAATAGGGTGTCTTTCTTGCATCAACACATCCCTTATTACAAAGTTTGAGGCATTAATGTGTACCTTAAATGGATTGGAGTAGCCAGGCAAGGACATGATAGGCTCCTGTATGACCATCTGCTTTAGCCTTTCAAAAGAATCCTAGAAGTCTTTAAGCCATTACCAAGATCTATCTTTCTTGAGTAAATTTATGAATGGAGTAGCAACGGTTGAATATCCCTTGATGAACTAACGATAGTAGTCTACCAAGCTAAGGAATGATCTTAGCTTTAAGACCTTGGTAGGAGGCTGCCATTCTTAAATGGCTTAAACCTTAGTTGGGTCTATCATGAGCTTTTTATCCTTGATCTTATGCCCCAAGAAGTCCACCTCTTGTTTGGCAAAAGAACACTTCTCTAACTTAATGTATAGCTTGTGATCAAGAGTACCTGGAAAACGTGCATTAAGTGTTAAGCATGTTCCTCATGGGTATTGCTATATACCATGATGTCATCCAAGTACACCACCATGAACTAATCCAAGTAAGGGGAAACAACTTATTCATAAGCAAACAGAACGTTACTCGAGCATTTATTAGTCAAAGGGCATGACAAGAAATTTAAATGCTCCATATCTTGTTACACAGGTTGTCTTCAATTCATCACCTATGGCAATACGTACTTGATAGTACTTTGATCATAAATCATGCTTAAAGAAGTACCTGGCCTTTTCAAGTTGATCGAACAAGTCGGTGATCAAAGGTATTAGGTACTTGTTCTTGATTGCAATCTTATCCAAGTGCCTATAGTTGATGCATATCCGTAATGATCCATCCTTCTTCTCTAGAAGAGAATTGGAGCACCATATAGGCCTTAGATGGTTGGATATACCCTCAATTAAAGAGATCTTGTAGTTATCTCCTTAACTCAGCAAGTTTTAGAGGTGACATACAGTAAGGTGCCAAGGCAAGTAGTTTGGCACTAGTCTTTAATTTGATTTGATGGTCTACCTCTCTTCTAAGCAGTAGTTTCTTTGGAAACTCATCAAGCATGACATGTTTGTACTCTTGCAGCACTTCTTGGATGCAAGGCAGCAAGGCTATTTATGGATTGGTTAGATTATCTTCCTCTTTAGCCAATAAACATATGGTGGCACAAAGGCTTCTACATTCTTAAAACCCCTCTTGAATTGCAAGGTAGAAATCATAAGTTTGAATTTCTCCAAGCGCTACAAAGGAATTACCCAAATCATATTAGAGTCGATGACTACTATTAACTTAGCTTCAAGAATGGGGAAGGCATATGCTTTGCAAAAAAAAAAGAGCAAGTCCCAACACAACTTTGAAATCATCCATAGGGACTATGGTAAATTCTAACATACCTTGCCAATCCTCAGTCTTCACTTTTACATCCTTGGCAATCCTAAGGACTTGTTTTGCAAGAGAGTTCATTGCCTTGATAGTGCCTTCTCGCTTGTTGAAATGGATGCCTAATCTCTTTGCTTCTTCAACCTTCATGAAGTTATAAGATGCTCCTGTATTGAGTATAACAAAGGTAGACTTGCCTTCGATGGTAAGTTCCACATAAAGTAAACCCTTCTCTTCCTCCTTGGATGGAGAAAAGAGTCTAGTCAGGGCATTTAAGTGTTGGAGGAAACTAAGGTCAACCTATTATTCCTTGTCCCGCCTTTCTTTCATCTTAGCAACTAAGGCATTCATTGCCTTACTATTAGGTCAATTGCAAGTCCAGTATGGACCATTACATATGAAAGATGGCTTTGGTGGCATTGAGGCATCACATTTGGTTAAAGATGGTTTATCCTATTTAGAACATCTACCAAAGGTTTTCTGGCCACTACAGTCGGAGCTCTTCATCTATCCTCCTTCGTCTCCCACACTCTTACTAGGATTAGGCTTTTTAGTCTTGGTAGAGTAGTCAGGTAAGGACTCAGTAGCTGCAATTGCCTCATCTAGAGTTTATACCTTGTGTCTGTCAAGCTATACTCTAGCCCAATCTTTGAGCCTATCTATAAAGTGGAAAAAGAGCCTTCTTGTGAGATAAATCTTTAATCTCCAGCATGATGGTAGTAAACTCTTTAATGTAGTTAGGAATACTACCCGTTTATCTTAACCAATAAAGCTTACCTTTAGCCTTTGTCTTTGCATTGTAGGGAACAAAGTATTTATGGAGTTCTGACTTAAATAGCTCCCAAAGGTTGAGAGGCCCTTCTCTCTCTCGACATGCTTCTTGTGCTACCATAGTTGGGTTGCATCCTAAAGAAAAGTTGAAGTATTATTGATTCTAATCAAGTTATTGATCACTCCCATGGCCTTGAAGTTCTATTCTAGGCTAAAGAGAAAGTTCTCCATAATTGTTGCATTGCAAGCCCCATTCTACATAGTTGGCTTAGGCACCTTCAGACCCTGAAAAGCAGTGTTTGTAGTATTGCCACTAATAAGGCTGCTTGCATGTCAATGAGATTCCCATTCATGGAAAATCTCATCCATTTGGGAGTGTAGACCTCGCAGCTTATCCTCAACATACTTGCGAAGGTCAATGAGATCATGTGTAAGGGAATGAATGCCCTTCCCTATATCACGACTAAGTTCTTCAATCATCAACTTGGCGGCAGGTGACCTTTGTATTCTATTGTATGAGACTGCTAAATTGATCATCAAGTTCCCCTATAGGGCACCTCACATTCTCCATGTGAGATTCCAAGCTAGCAATACGGGTTTTAAGGGACTCATTTGCAGGAACCTTACCCTTGCTTCAGTTAGACTTGGTATGAGCTTGCTCGTCTTGTATATGAACTTGCTTTTTCACTTCCATGCCAATAATGTTTCCCTCCTCAGTTGCCATTGCACAAAACCTTCCTCTAAGCACAATGGTTGAATCATGCTCTAATACCAACTATCATAGGGCTAGTCTTTCGACTAGCGCTACACTTAAATACTCTTTACTAGAAGATATTAAGTAAACTTGATTTGTAGAAAAGAAAGATGCTTCGTTAAGTTGAGGAAAGGGAAAGCTTAAGAGAAAAGGATAGTTGAGAGAGTTTGGAGAATGTAAGAGTTGCATTGCTTGAGAACTCAAGGATGAGAGGAACTTAAAGATGCTTTACAAATGAGTAGGGAGGTGGTATTTATAGGCCTCCCTTTGAATCTAGAAAATTCCCACCATCTTAATAGACAGTAGAGATTAAATCGATCCTACAGCTATCATTGATTGTTTAGAATTCTCTCCTAGATATTTACAATAAATATCTAGATATTTACATGAAAATATCTAGAAACTATCTCAAACATGTTTGGAACATTCTAGAACATCCTAGAATATTTTAAATATCTTCACATCCTTTCATAAGCTTCTAGAACCTTTTACACCCTTCTAGATTCTCCTAAATTGTTTCTAAAACATTCTAGAACGTTCTAGATTCCTCTTAATGTCTTAAAATACTCTCTTAATGTTAACTGGAAGCCTTCTGGAGCATTTTAGACCACTTTAACCTCGTAAAAAAATCATGAATCACAATAATATAATAGAAAATAGGCATGATTTCTCTATAAATATACCATGGTATAGAAATTTGGGTCAACCTATTAAACTAGTATTTTGACATGTTTAATCATGGTTTGATTATGATTTTAATCATTAATCCTTAAATGAGTATCTTTACTGATTTAATAGCTAGTTCGGTTTTTAGTAGTCTAAATTATACAACTATCTAATAATGAAAGGAGTGACATAGCTAGTGTTAGATTCCACTTGTCATGTGAGAATCATAATTATATCTCCCTCTAATTATACGGTTGCACATACAACTAGAAAGAGCATTGCTCTAAAACACAAGATTTGTACCAATATGTTCATTGTAATTCATTTATTGCTTACCTCATAATGTATTGCGTGAATAATTACATCTTTAACAACCGTGTAACTGGCATTAATGATAGCTGCTCCTTGTTCTTCAAGAAATCGAATAACATCAGTAAATGTAAAATCACTATCCAATTCAGTTTTCAAACAACCTGTAAGGCTATAGTGCCCATTTCTTGGATCTCAAACCAAGGTGGTGATTTTGATCTCTTAATCATTCCTCTATGTTCGATAAAATTTGACTTTTGATTAATGGTCATCAGATTGTCCTTCTTCTCCTTCATTTTCTCCAACTTCATCTGTAACTTCTTGATGTAATTGGTGGCTTCCTCTAATTGATCAAGTAATGGAATAGCATCCTACATCACATTCAAACCATATAATTCAATTAAATATTTTTTATGTATACTTAAATAAGATATTTCTTTTGGAATATGTACATCTTAAGTAATGCTATCTCTATCCCAAATTATAAGATACTTTTAGAAGAAATTTGGTATTCCAAATTATAATACGCTTTGACAACAATAAGGTTTGATTAATAATACTTTTTTAGTTAAATAAAACTTTTGATCCCTATACTTTTCTCATATTTTGCTTTTAGTCCTCATATTTTTTTAGTATTTTAGGTCCCTACACTTTTGTTTTCCCTTATTTTGGATCCTTCCAAGGTCCCTATACTTTGTTCATAGAGAGATCAAAAAAAATGAAAAATAAAAATGTATGGACCTAAAATATCCAAAAAAAAAAGTATAGGGATTAAAAGTAAAACGCGAGTAAAATATAGAGACCAAAAGTTATATTTACCCTATTACACTTCTCATATATTTTTTCTCTTTAATTTTTTTTTTCACAATTGAAGTATTAAATGAAGGGTATTTTTGAAAGTTTATATTTTTACCTTAACAAAATAAGGTTATAAAATGTATTTAATGAGCTTTCTTGGTACATGTGATTTTGTCTAAAAATATTTTATAATTTAAAATGGAAGGAATAATATATATATATATATATAAAATTTAAAACATTCCTCAATCAATCGTAAATCTGAGTGGTTTTATATGGATTTGAGATTTGGATCCTTTACGGTAGAAAAACATATTGGATCATTGATTTGATCCAATGATTTGGAGAAAACTTTAATCTAGCCATTTTTATTCACATATATGTTAGATCAAGCTATATTCTCTCCCAATCATTGAATCGAGCCTCTAACTATATATATTCTAAACAAGAGAACAATATGGATTTTTCTTTTTCTCTTTTAACATTAAGTGAGTTTGAACTGTAAAAATCTCTGCTTATATGTTTCCATGCAAGGTACAGACAGACTAACATTGCATTAGCAGCTGAAGAAGAAGGAATAATGATAAATTAAATTAAAGGGAAATTAAGAGAGAATTAAACCCTTGGGCTTTGATGAGGAACAAGCGATTTGAGCTGGGAATAGAGAGCCTTCATTTGATATCTCCGATTCCTCTCGATGAATTTTCTGTCAGTCGTTCTGGTGGATGAACTAGGGTTTTCCTCCATGAATATCGATCAGAACAGCATCTAACAAGTATAATAATAGCTCATAACATCAATATCTCAAAGGCATATATATATATATATATATATAAACTATTCACTCTTCAGAAAAGAGAGGATACTTCTCAGATAACAAATGTCACTTGTCGGTGATACATTAACATTTTCTACGACTTTAAGAAAAGCAAAATGCATATCAATCATTAGATGCTAGTGATAAAGTTTTCTGATAAGAGGATGGTGGGGCTCGATTGTTTTGGAATTGTGCTTCACTGTTCCTATTCAACAAGGTATAGCATCTCATCAATGGAGTTGCACTATTATTTTTGGCTGTGCTAGCTCCTTGTATAGTATTAGATTATGAGTATGATTAAATACCAAAATCTTCAAAATTTCATAAACATTGCTGTTGTGTTTGGATTAATGGGAATTTGGTTTGAGCTAGGATATATAAATCTATATTCATTTTGTGTCATAATTCCTTTATAGTTTCTCATTTCCTTTAAATTCTAATTATTTGAAATTTTAGTAATCCCAACCCAATTGTTGTTTTTTTTTTTTTTTTGGCATTGGCATTATTGGTGTTTCTATCACTCCCGCCTTTCATCTCTCATTATTGTCTATTGCTGATTAAAGAATAAAGGGAAGCTCATCATTCTCAATTTAATCTTCTATTTTTGTTTCAAATCTCAGCTTGTGTCTTTTTTTCTTTAAAATTTTTTACACTACATAAAAAAATAATTTTAAATGTGAGATTTTAAATATAAAATATAAATTTAAATCCATAATCCAAACACTACCTCATATATATATATATATATATATATGCTGATAGAAAATATACGCAAACACGCATGGCAAAATAAGATGCATAAAACATTAAGAAGAAATGCTTTTCGATGCTTACTAATGATCAAATAAGTAAAATCCTCATTCAATTCTTAGATGTTAGAAAATGGGAGAAAGATCGCAACATGTAAATTTTATGTTTAGTATACGGAAAAAAAAGTGCTAAAACTCATAATATAGAAATCTAGATCAACCCACCTGATTGAACTACTAAACCAATGTCTTGCCCACTTTAATAAAATAATTTATTTATAATTGGTTTGATCATGGTTCGACTACGATTTTACCATAAATCCTTAAATAACTATTGTCTTAACTAATTTAATAACTGATCTGATTTTCAATACTTTGCTAAAACTATTATAATTAATCTCAAGGAAGACGTGACGTTACTCTCTCATCTTCCCCTTCACTAAATTAAAGAAGGCATCATTGGATTTAACGGAGAGGCTGACTGTATTTGTAAGACATAAGATTTGGAGTTTTCAAGTCTATTTTATAACAAGATTGATCAAGCAACGCAGCAATAAAGAGTCTACTCTCAACCCATTCACAACATATGAATTATTATAAGAAAACTGATAGTTAAATCCCAAAAGATTGAATTAATAACTGTTAGGTTCCAAATAAAATTTTTTTAAAAATAAATTATAAATATCAATTCAAACAGTTACAAATAAAAATTCATGTTACTCATGACCAAAAAAAAATCATGTTACTATCTAAGAGTTACATTTAATACTTAAACACTTATTTGTAATTGAAATTCTTGGATTTGTAAATATCTGTATCTATATTTTCAATTTATTTTTTTAAATTTTTTTTTTGAAAACTTAACTATCATTAATTCAATGTTTTGAGACTTAACTATTATCCTTCCAATATTATAGGCAATCAAAATTTTGATACTTCGATTATAATTGCATCAGTCATAATTATGATAAAATTATCTGAATTTAAGTTTATTATACTTAAGAACATGTACAAAATCATCACGGAAATTTAACAGTATGAGTAATTTTTAATTTTTAATTATAAAGATGGGAAAATTACATGTAGGCCCACGAAGTAGACTTGTTTACAAATAAATCCCACAAAAGTTAGAAACCATAGGTCCACATTACATCATTTATAAAAAAAAATACATTACATCAATCAAATAATTTATAACTATTTCATAAGTAATTTAAAACTATTATTTTATTTTTTTTAACAATTGTAACTTTACATATCTAATAATTAAATTAATTGTGCATTAAAAGTTTGATACTGATTATATACAACTATCTATTAGTAATTTATAACTGTTACTTCAATATTTTACAACAATAACTTCACATATCTAATAATTAAACAAATCATGTATTGCCAACAAAGTTTGACATTAATTGTTTACAACTACTGTATCGGTAATTTTCAAATTATATTCAAATTTCAAAGGAATTAGATGTCATTTCAAAATTTTACAGAACTTACATGTAAATAAATGTACTTTACAAAACCTATACATAATTTTTTCTGTAAAGATTCCAATGCTTAAAATTGATTTCCAAATCCTGTGTCTAACTTGATTAATTACAAGAACATAATTCAAAATTTAACAAAATTATAAGAAGCTGTAGATTAATTTTTCATAAATATAAATTATCTAAATTGTATTCAAAATTATTTGAGGGGAGAACTTAAATAAAAAATTCGAGAGAGAAAGCTATATATGACACGAATGCCATCGATTGAGAAAAAGAAAGGGCCAACAAGTGAATAGGGCAGTCTTTTACTTCTCAAGTTTACTTTTCAGAAATATTTAAACCGAACAAAAATGAGAGGAAGATTTTGAGAAAATACCAATTAAAGATCAATCCTTAGTATATCTATTTAATTTCTAGATGCTCTGTGATTAACGAAAGGTCAAATACTTGTTGATCGGAAATGGGGGGAAAAAGTATTCTTTGAAATATTTGCTAAACTCTTCATTAAAGTCATAAACATAAACAATTGAATGAAGAAATTTTATTACATAATAATAAGAACAAGAATGTTTCATCACTAAAAATCATGTTTTTACATGTAGTGTAAGATAACGAAATGCCAACCCAGATACATTTAAATATATTAATTGTAATAAAACTAGTTAAAATTAACATGATGTCAAATTGGTCATGCAACAGTAATTAGAAATTTAGCATCAAAACTTGGATCATGCAGACAAAGATTAAGGAAATCTCTCTTGACACTGCTTGCCAGCTCTTCCATCTAATTTATCTGTGCTATTTCAGCCCATTTTTTCACACCATATTGATTTACCAACCTCACCAATTTCCTGTTCACCAATCCACAATCATCTTAATATGCAGTTTAAAGATATGTGTTTTTTTTTTGGGAATTAAAAGTGGCAAGCTAAGCTTGAGAAGTACAAATTAGACTTCCAGCTGCTATCTTATGTATACTGAGAGGCACATTCAGGAATTACAGAATCGCAGTTTTTGCTTGAAACCGAGAATCCAGGATCCATCGCAGTCCCTGATTAGACATATAAGTAAATCAGGCCCATTTGAAGCCCATTGTGGTACTGCTAGTACGGCTGAAGACTCTTGGGTGGAGTTTTGTTTTATTTTGTTTTATTTTGTTTTCGTTTTGTTTTTTTTTTAATTTTATTTTTTATTACCTATAGTTATCTTTTATGGAAGATGATATTGAATGTGAGTATCTCTCTCAATAGGGATTCAAATCTTAATTTATCATGTTATGAGGTACTCATCTTTTTTATTAGACCTAACCCTATTGACAACTCTTATGTAGAATTACTAGAAAAGGAGTTAGGGTTGGAAGCTACTGTTCCCTTTAATGGGCTTTCTCCATTATCTTGGGCCACTTTTGGGCTGAAGGGAATTTCTATTAAAAGCCCCATATGTGATCCACCTAGGCCTCCTTCCTCTAAACACAGAAGGCGGCTTGCGCTTGATGAAGCAACTCGGTCTCTCGTTGACAACGCTATAGTTGGATTAGAGGAGACAAGGAAAAACCAAAACAAATGCCCGAAAATGAATGAAGGTTTTGCTTTATCGGAATCATCAATCGGTTTGGTATCTGAACATGAAGTGAAGGAAAACGAATCGAACTTGTGAACGGCTTACTTACATCACTTTCACCCATCAACATACTTCCTCTCATAAGGATTGAAAATTTTTTTTTTCTAATTATAAATCATTTTATTAAATTTTTATTTCAAAATTTCTTACTTGACCTTCGTCAAATGTTGGAGAAAAAAATATTTTAATAAAGACAAATTTGATAAATAATTAAATTTTTAAATAGAGTTAATAAGTTTTAAAATTTTTTTTTAATTCTAATAAAACATATATACAAATAGGATCAAGATACCAACTTTATCCCAAAAGAAAAAAAAAGAATCAAGATACCAAGTAGATATGACATAGATAGTAGCGATCTAGACCCCTTAAGTATCATTTTAAGGCTCCATTCCTAGAGGTTTGTATGGAAAAATATTGTTTGAAAAATGACAACCCTTTAAATGATGCTATGATTCTTTGGAGGATTAATCTCACAACTGCCCATTGTAGGGATACCTTGGGAGGGGAGGGATCAAGATAGTGGAACATGAATCTCTATTCTTCCCCACCAAGATTTACTAATTTAGGAGTCAATAATTAGACTGTAATTGAACTGGACCAGTTTATAATTAATTAATTATATTTAATATTTTTTAAATAATATATAAAATTATAAAATAAATTCTTCATAATCATAAAATAATAGAGTATTTAAATAAATAAATATTCAATTAAAAGATAAGAATTTTATAATTTATATTTTAATTTATTTGAAAGAATATATATATATATATATATATATATTTAGTAGATTTCATCCCTTTCATTTTTTCGGGCATGAATGTCATAGAGATTTTCATAAATATCAAATAAACTTGATCATATTAATTTAAAATCCTTTTCAAAATCATTTATCCTAAACCAATTATGGCCTAGATTGTTAGATGTAGAGAAGAAGAACCATTAGTAGATATAGTCATTCATGTCCCAAAATTATAAGAAGCTGTAGATTAATTTTTCATATTTTTTAACATTTAACTCCTCAAAATATATTTTACATTTTTTAACAGAGGAAGTAACTTATTTCAATTAT